GAGCTTGTAATATTGCCTTGAACCATAAATATGTGCATACTGAAATTTCAATAAAATGTCAAACAGAACCATGTTAAAGATGAGCCATTGTATACCGTTGAAGAAAAATGATAAATGTTTTAGCCTTGATATTAGCGCCATTTAAATCATTAGAGTATAATTTAAGTATATATCACTACAAACTCTTTTTCTTCTATCAGTGTCTTTCAATTGTCCACAATTGAAAACAGTGTGTATCCTGTGGGATTGATCTCAAAACTTGTCGTCAACGGAGACACTAAAAATGCAGCTTAATTTGAGTTCCACGTAATTAATGTATGTTTAGACGATTACATACCAAAACGTAAAAATCTAAGTGCGAAACACCGAATCATTTTTCAAAGTATCCTTCTCCCCTCAATATGATCGTATTTAAATTCTGTAACCAATCCACCTGATCACAGTTTAGTTTTTCTTTTCTTTTTTTTATAACCGTTGTTGATCAGCCGACCCAATTTTAAACTCCATCCAGAAGACAAGGGAAATCCTGGATCAAGTATTGGGAGAAATTTGCCTTCTTGCAAGACTTTTTTGATGGAATTAACTCTTATTTGCTTTACATGGGGAAGAAGACGGTTAAACTCGGTTAGCCTGACGGCTAAAGGACTCTAACCCATGATCCGTCATTCGTATCGACCAGCATCCTCTGGGGTTCGAACCCGATTCATCTTTCTTACTTAAAAAGATGAGATTGAAGTAAACAAGAAAAAAAAAACTTTGAAATTCCCTCGAATAAGGGAAATCAAATTTGTTCCTTTTTCACGCGCACGACTTGAGCAATCTCAATCTCATCCCAAATTTAGATGGACGGAATAATAACGAGGAGGCATTGCACTCAGAATAGAGCGGGAACACCCTTAGGCCCGACACGTAAACACCACGAGAACCTCCAACGGTTAGCCTGACGGCAAAAGGACTCTAACCCATGATCCGTCTACCACTGAGGATATTTCACGTCAGTACTGTGGTTGGTACAAGCCGGATGTGGATTCGTATCGACCAACATCCTCTGGGGTTCGAACCCGATTTATCTCATTAGAAGGCGAAGGCTCTATCCCCTGAGCCATCGCGGCTCAGGAACAGTATAGTCGTCAAAGTCGGATTAGGGTATCACTAATGGGCTATTGGTTATATTCCAATTTTTACGGTTATCTGAAGATAACACTGACGCATGCGCACACTATGCTACAACAGTTTAGATTGGAGGGCGGAAGGTGGAAGCAATCACTCGGTCTTCGCACCGTGCAACCTCAACCATTGAATTGTGTATTATTTCCAGCTCTGAAACCACAGTGGAAAGGACATTAGAGTAGATTTCGACCGATTAAGCCACGAAGAATTATTTCTGAAAAACAATAGTGTATTAAAAGATTTTTCCTCTCGAAAATTTTACATTAAAAGGAATTATGGTGACCATTCATAGTTCCGTAAGGTTCAATGAATGCGTCTCTTCAAATTCACTCCTCTTATTCGCAGGTACCCCAGAAACTATACTTACTATTTCAATTTTGTCTTGTGATTCAAATTTTTTTAAAAAAAAATTACAATAGTTTTCTTTTTTTTTACTTATTTATTTTTAATTTCGATCTTTATACCAATGCAAAATGCAAGACAAAATGTTGAAAATAACTAAAATGGAAATAATTAATTTCAAATACAACGAAACGAAGGAAAATGTGCTTTTTTTAAAAATATCGAAAATAAATAGAATTTGTGTTAGCTTAAGAAAAGTTTAAAAATGTTTACAAAATACTGTTTTAAATAAGTTTAAATAACAAAGAACTATAACGAAAGTTCCTGGAACATGGTGTTTTAAAAATCCAACCAAACGGGTTCACGAGAAAACTTCTCCAGCTGTGTAAATAAAGCGAAAAATAATATAAACTAATAGTTATGAATATATTTGAAGGCATTATGCTTTATAGACTAATGTAAAAGTAAAGCATAATGATTTTGTTCAATGTTTTCGAAATATTATTACCATTTATTATTTATATTTTCTTTGAAAATAAAGATCAATGACCGTTAGTAAGTTGTGGAGAACAATACTTTGAATTAGTATTATATGTTGCAATGCTCAGATTTTTTTCTAAAAAATGAGGTATAACAAAAATATAAAACTGGAGTATAAAAATCAAGTTTCGAGAATAGAAGAGGAAAACGAAAGAAAAAAAAAAGAAATATTGTTTCAGGAACAATACATGTTTATTAAAGGCTCACTAAATAAGTGTACAAGAATGAAATTTTAGGAATGTAACGTGATGACAAAAATTATAATTTCATGTTCATGAAAAAGGGGATTGCAAAAATAAAATAGGATTTAAAAAAAGAAGAAGAAAATTAGGAATAAAAGAAAGGGTGTTTATAAAAAGAAAATCAATCAAGAATAAAACAATACAATTTCTGGAAAAAGTAGGAAGTAAGAACGAAAAATAAGCATGTTATAAATTATAAAAAAAATAAGAATGTTATATAACTACAGTTATAGAAAATGTGCAGAAAAAAAATCCTTAAACAGAAGTTTGAGAATTAAATTAACAAAAATTGTAATTTTAGGATTAAAGTTTTCGTACAAGTGTAAAATAGTAAGATGGAAAAAAAAAGAAAAATAATTTCAGATAAAAAACATGTGTATATAAAGCAAAGAGAATAGAAATATTGCATTACAATATCAAGATATAAGCAGGGAGGTAAAATAATAAATATGCGTATAAAAAGCAAAATAAAAGCAAAAAGACATTTTAAATTAAATGTATTAAATTGGAAAATTAGAAAAGTCAGCAAGAAATGTAAAGGAACATTGAATTTGATAACGAGAAAGAAAAAAATGATAACGAGCAACAAGAGTAAAACATATTCTTTTCATTATATAAATTTAATTTCTTCAAATGGACAGTAATATATAGTATTATTTAATCTGTCAGAGTAAATTTTATCTGTCATAGTCTACATGAAGTTTTTCGTGTAGACCGTCTATATAACTTAAATTACAACACAATCTAATTACACTTAGCTTAATATTATTTATATTAAAATCACTAATTTCCTTAACATTAAAATTTAATTTGATGGATGTTTTCACGAATTATGAGCTGAAATACTAAGCATAGCTACTGGAAAGTGAAAAATTTGTCGAAGAAAATTCCTCAAATATTTGCTACACTGTAACAACAACCATTTATTTGATAATAAAGTAAATCGCTACGTTGTCTGAATATTTTTTAAATAATCAACTTAATTTTAATTTTAGTTGAAGTCATGAGCAATGATATTCTTTATTTTGCATGGTTAAAAAAATAAAAGTGAAGAAGATAGCAATAACAATTTTATAGCATAGCATAGCATTAGCGTTTAAATATTCTTTTATTTATTCAATTATCTTAATATACTTTTTTAGTTCTCATGATTTAGAAAGTAATTTAAAATCTTGCCTTTTCTTTAAATGACGAGAATAAAAAAACAAGCTGAAAAAAACTATACATTGCATTGAAGAGTAAAGCAATAAATTGCATTTAGCATTAGTTGAATATTTAGAAAAACATTTTATCGAAAATATCGTAAAATAGTATTTAGACTAATTTAAATCGATACTCCTATGATAATAATCAGGATATTTTTTTATAATAATCAATAATCAATTATTATTTGTACTTGATGTCCTACTCAATACTATTTTATTATTCGCTATTTTATTATTAAAAGTAATGAAAAAATCAAAAATGAAGAAGGTAGCAAAAAAAAGGAATTAATAAATGATAAATAATATCATTAATAAATAATATCATTCGAGTATTTAGAGTAATATTTTATTGTAACATAATACATGACATTTATAATATCTGTAAACTGACTCTAATATTATAACTCTAGCATTTTTGACACAATGAATTTTATTTAGCATTTTTTGAAAAATTAAATTTAATTGCAAAATAACGAATGAGATTTATAATACCTTTAAATTTGTACTGTTTTCATAATTTGAATACTGTTTTAACTAATTAACAACTTATTATTATTCTTAATTGAAGTCATTAGCATCCAATCTGCTATTTTAATCGAAATATTCAATAACTCGGTATTTTTTAATGGAAGTCGCGATTTATAACGGGTCAAATCTTGCTTATTTAATTAAAAAAAACAAAAAATGAAGTATACAGATTTTTTTTAAAAATTTTAAATCGATAAATAATACCTTACATTTGTCAAATATGTGGAGTAAAAAGTTAACTTAATATAACGAATGATAATTAAAATACATTTAAATTACTAAATTGTTACTTTTAGATGAAGTGATAATCAATGCGACTTGACACTTTACTTATTTAAAAATGCGAAAAGGAAGAAGGTTTTAAAAAGAAAAGTAAAACACTGAAAACTTTTCAGTATAAGTCGAATATTTAAAGTAGTTTTTTATCTCAAAATAACGAATAATATGTAGAATACTTTTAATTCTATACTGTCCAATTCTAACTTTCTTTTTAAATGATAATAACTTAATCTATATCTTTAGTAGGTGTCATGATTTACAATACGATTTCAATATCTTTCTTACTTAAAAAGATGAGATTGAAGTAAACAGGAAAAAAAAATTGAAATTCCCTCGAATAAGGGAAATCAAATTTGTTCCCTTTTTTACGCGCACGACTTGAGCAATCTCAATCTCATCCCAAATTTAGATGGACGGAATTATAACGAGGAGGCATTGCGCTCAGAATAGAGAGGAACACCCTTAGGCCCGACACGTAAACACCTCGAGTTTTTCTTCAGAAATAAATATATATATATATGATATGAAGCCGGGAGAAGAAAAATAACTTTTAAAAAAAAGAAGCAAGGTAGGGTGGGTCAGATAATAAAGCAGTGAAGAAACCGGGGGATGGCATTAGGAAAATAAAATAAAAAATCAGAAATTGTAAGGTAGGTAGCACGAAAAACCTGCAGTAGCCAAAGGTAAACCTGTCACACACACTGGTTTCCGGCCCCAGGGTCTCTGTAACGGCCTCACTTGCTTCAAGAGCTTCAGTTCACAACGCGTAACCAGTTCGAGTGGCTCACACGTAAACCTGCTCTCTGGATTCTCTTCATGAGGATGAAGTCTTCTTCGATCTCTTGGAAGTGATTTGCGATCAGTTGGCATGAATCGATTTCGTGGATTTGTTAGTGTTTTGCGTTGTTCGATGAAGAAGTTTGGCTATCGAAACTGCTAGTGAGTAATTTGAGTTCCGCACTCATTTTTTTTTTGTTTTCTTTAGAAACATTGTGATATTATTTATTGTGAATGATGATGCTTTCGAAAGCATTGTGGTACTTTTTCTTGTCATGTTTTGTCTGTCATATGGTACTTTGTGATACACTGTTGGATAGTGGTGTGGTGCAAGATGATAGAAAAACGGACAATAAAGAAGATTCTAGTATGAATGGAGGGACTGTTTTGAGTAATGAATTTTCTTCTGACACAATTTCGGACAGTTCAGAAGAGAGTAACAGTTTGCGATCTACTGAAAAAATGGATTTAAGTTCAGAAGAAAATCAGGGTTCAATAGTAACGACAGTTTCAACCGATGAATCTAGTAATTCAGACTCACATACAATTGAATCAACCGATACTCCTATATCAATTACATTTAAAACTGATGCCAAGAAAGATATGAAAAAGAAACACAAATTGGCTTTTAAGAAGAAGGATATGACTTCAGAAGACGAGGAATCCGACAGTTTAAAATTTCAAGATCATGATTCCGAAATGCATTCGTCCACCATGAGTACTGATGACGAAATGACAGAATCAGTGAGTACTGTAGAATCGGAAACTGAATCGAAATTAATTGAAACATCTGAACAGGATTCGTCTACAGAGTTAAATCGAGATCCAAAACACGAAGACATCAGTTCAGATAGCTTCACCACTCTGACATCAAATATTGAAAAATCTGAAGAGTCTGCTGTAGATGATGATCTGTCAAAATCAGCGTTAGGTTCTGAGAAAACAGAACATATATCCTATACACCCCTTGCTGGAATCGAAATTGATATGCCTGTAATGGAAGAAACAACACTGGGTCCTATGGAAGCAGCGCAAACGACAACATCTGAGATTTTAACTCGTGATGATGAAGAGCATAGCACTGCATCAGAAAAAACCACTGTGAATCCAATTGACTTGCATCATATGTCCAAAAAGATAATCGAAAACGATAGCCTTGATATTAAAGATGAGCATGGCTTGACCGACGAGGATATTTTTAATAGAGTTAATAACAGTTTGAACATTGATGAAGAACATGACCATGAAAATACAACAAAAACAACAGGCCATCAAGAAATCACCAGCACAATGCCTCCTGGAGTTCGTAAACAGAAACAAATGAATTTCGACAACACGGAAGGAAAATGTGTGTGTAACGAACCCAAAATTATATTTAACCCTTCTAATTGCGTGGGCGGGAGGACCTTATCTGACCCAAAGTGTCCTTGTCGAAGCATTTGTGCACGTCAAGCTGGGGAATCCTGTTCTCCAGAAGAGCCCTGTGACGAGGAGTTTGGACTTAAGTGCAACCTTCAGACTAACACCTGCCACGGTAAGTTTGCATTATGTAATTTCATTTGTATCTTTCAAAAACTCTAGAATGCATTTTAGTGATGCAAGTATGAATTATTTTAAACTGCATTAAATAAAATAAATTTCAGATTTTTCTTTAGAAAAATGTACATTATAATTCATATGATGGTGTAACTCTAAAATTGAAGTTTCGTCATCTAATAATAAACACCTTTTATTTCCTCAAAATATAAACAATTTTAAATAATTTTCTCTTAATCTTATTTAAAAAAAAAATCAATCGCAATTGCTAAAATTAACAATGCATGCTTATGTTCATGAATTATTGTATGTTTTTTCATCTTAATTTATGACAATGAATGAAGGAAGTTTTATTTTATTTTTTCTATTTGTATAATGTTTTTTAAAGTGCTAATAATCTAATTTTGTCATAAAATAATGAGAGTCTCTAGTTTTTCTTCTAAATATGAGGATTTTAAATGGTTTTAAATCAATATGAAAAGCAATGGTATTTTTCCATGCTCTTAGATTTTATGTTCCTTAAAAATGAATAAGACTGATTTTTTTTTTAAATTCAATAAAAAAATTTAAATTCTATTTCGTATTTTAAAAATTTGGATACTTTTTTAAAATATCATTAAGGTTGTCGTCGTTTTCAAAATTTTACTTGTTTTTTTTCCTTAATCATTTATAGTCAGTGTTCAATATCAGAATTTTACTTTCACTGTCTCTCCCGAGTGGTAGCCTGTCTTCTTTTTTTCCAGCTTGCCTAAAAGGCGGCTGGTGCGTAATGATGACCAAATGGCAACCATCACGCCATCGGTTGGTCCAATTGTGAATCCTTACCGTTTATGATCATTTTGTCTCACATTTAGCAGTTGTAAAGGTGTTTTACTGCTTTTATTATATTAGAAATGCTTTTATTTATTTTTTAAAAAATACCAAAATATATTTAATGGAATATAATAAATAGAAATGTGTAATATATTTACTTAAACCTTACCTGGAACCTAAAAACATAAACAAACTGCAAATAATGCAGCTTTTCAAGAAACATGGAAGAAAACTATTGCATGCTAAAAAGAAAAGAAAAAAAAAACCATCTGGAAGTGGATTTTAACAAGAACACATTTTTGTATTTTTATGTTAAACTATTCGCTAAGAACTTCAGCACTTCAGTAAAAAATAAACTACAATTACAATTGTTTGATAAATTAGTAGAAGTCAGTGATGTAAAAGTAAGAAACGGTAGCTGATACATTTTAATGTTGCTCTTAAATAATTATTTCTTAATAGCACATTAAATGTATAAATAACATTATTATTTTATTGTTACCTACTCCTTATTAGATCTCTAGTGATGAATTAGCAAGGAATGATAATAAATTGAGCTTAAATTAAGGAACTATTAGAAAGTTATAATAAATAAGACACGGTGGAAAATATTCTGGTAAAATTAGCATATTGCATGGTAATGACGTTTTTGGTTACTAAAACCGAACTGCACGGTATTTACAACATTCTTTAATAGCTTTTTCGTTTATATAATAGCGGTTTACAGGAAATTCTGGCTTTCAAAATTAAAGTTCTGATTACTACATTTAGTGAAAAATACAAAATTGAAAAATGAATTTAGCCGAATAGATGGTTTTTATGCCATGCTTTAGGGTATCATGATAAAATTAACAAATTTAGCCACATTTACCAAATTTTATCGTATATTATAAAACCATATTTTATAATTAATTTTAGAAAAAAACATTTTGCTTCAGAAAATATTACCGAGTTTTTTTGGTGTTCTCATAAAACCAGAAAAACGTAAATTTTACCATATTCTGTTAGTCTTAACCATATTTATTTTTAGTGTATCCTTCACGTGATTTATAAAAGAATGTTGGTTTTATTTGATACATAAAATTATATTGCTATCGCTTTTATTAATTTTAATTTGACTGTTCTAATAAAATAAAATTTAAACAAAATATACAATATTCAAACTATTCATTTGGTCATTTTTCCATTATATGGTAACGGTTCACGGGAAATTCTGGTTTTAAAAATTATAGTTCGTATTACCACATATTTAGTAAAAATACTAAACTGAAAATTAAATTTAACTGAATTTATGGTTTATATACTATGCTTTAAGATATTCTGAATAAATTACCAAATTTTAGCACATTATACAACCATACTTTATTGCTAATTTTACCAAAATCATTACCAAAGCAGTTCAGTAAAAATCGTCGAGCTTTTTGGTGTTTCCATAGAGCCAGAAACACGGTGAATTTCACCATATTTAAATAGCTTTGATCGTACACTTTTCTCAGTGCATTTCAGACAATTTCCTTAGAAAGAATTCTAATTAATAACTGTGTGCTAAAATAAGTTGTAAAAAATAGATAATTACAAATAAAGAGATTAACACTTATAAAAAAATTTATGCTCGTTGATTTTAATACTATTCAAATTATGACACGGATCTGTACGGAATTATGACACGGATTATCGTGCAAGTTAATTTTTCATACACTTGATTACACGACATCGTTGTTCAAATTGAATTGAAACACGATTCATTTTAACCCCTTATTTATTTGAAGCAAATTGAATAATAGTATGGTTCATTTTCGAGCTGATTCTGGTAGTTTTTAATCATACTTTTTTCTCAGCGTAGAAATAGATTAAAAGTTTGTAAGAAATTGCAAGCAACCATACGTTTCATTCTTTACACTTAAATAGTCATTTCCTGCATTAAGAGCATTAAACTTTAAAAAAAAAAGATTGTTTTAATATAATTCATTCGTTATTAGATCAAGAAGATCTATCAGATGCACTCTCTCAGTTCAGTTCTTTTAAAAGATGTGCGTGAACTGCTCTTGAATATAAAGTGATGAAACACTTCGAAGCTACCGACACGTAACAAGAGTTCTTTTCTTCACACACTTTGTCAAATCTTTTAAGTGGGAAAATCTCGACATGCTTTCATAAGGAATATAATTAGTTGCTTCTCTTCCCTTATTTCATACTTCTATAAACAATGAATTTTTCAAGTTTTGTTTTAAAAAAAAAGTTTCATCACTAGTCTTTCTAAATTTGAAGTATTTTATAATAACAGTTGGCAACTTTAAGGATGTGCTTTAACAAGCTTTCATAATGAAATCAAAATAATTTCATTAGTTAAAATTTTTATTTATGTCTATTTTTTATGAGAAAAAAAAAACATAAGCATGAAAGGAGTGTTTCTGCATTAAGGATTAAAAATATATTCAGAGTTTTATTTTTATTTCTGGAGAAAAAAAAGTATGATCCAAACTACCAGAATATGGTAAAATTTATTGCGCTTCTGGCTCTATGGGAACACCGAAAATCTTGATAATTTTCAAGAAAGTGCTTTGGAGATGGTTTTAGGGAAATTAACAATAAAATTTGGTAATTTTGTCACGATATTTTAAAGCACAGTATCAAAACCATTAATTCGGTAGAACTTACTTTTCAGTTTTTTATTTTTTACTTACGTAGCAATAAGAACTATAATTTCAAAAACTAAAGTTTTCTGTAAATGGAAAAGCTACCAAATGAATGGTTTAAATATCTTATATTTTGTTTTTATTAAATGGAATATTGTTTTTTCAAATTTTTTATTTATTTATTTATTTTACCAGAAATATCATTATTTTACAGTAAGGTAATTTTAACAAAAGTTTTGTTCTCCGTGTTTAAGATTTAGACGGAAATATCTGGTTATACTGTATAGAAAACTTTAATTTTTCATAAGAACTAGCGAATATAAAAAATTTTAACATTACAACTAATTTTTAATAAGGAGATTTTAAGTACATACATAATTGCGTGAAACAATTGCAATGAGCAATTCAGAATACCCTTTTCAATTACATAATGTAATTTTCTAAAAGCAAATACAAAATTTCTAAAAGCTCTCAAAGATGCAAAATATAACTTTTTAACATAAAGCTCTATAACTTTATATGGAAATCATTTGATGTCTTTATTTTGTAAAAACAGAAATTTCGATATTTAATTTAAATTTTCACTTTTAAAAAGTAAACCAAATATTACATTACTTTTTTACCCAGTACATTTTACATACAAAGCTCAGCTAAATTTCTTACTGTTATTTAGAGTAGTTTACTTTTCGTAATTAATTTTATAATTCATAATTAATTTTTCATTATTTTTTTAAATATACAGGATTAATTGTACATTTTTAATACACAATGAAATAAATTAGATATTATAAGATTAAATACAGTGAATAAATTAGTGATTTTATATTCATAAATAAATAAATCGTGTTTTATTTAGTTTAAATGCTGAAAACTGCATTTTTAGATATAGGTATTCGCAAAGTATGTCTATCAGCAAGAAACAGATACTATTTTTTTTCAATTTACATTAATTGAAATACAAATTATGGTTGGGTGAATATTTTCCCTGGCGTTTAAACATTTAAGCACAATATTTCTGAATTGCTTTTATGGACAACTGAAGCGTTTCTTAAGTGCTTTAAAGAAGTCATTGTATTGAGTGAAATTGTCTTGCGTGTTAGGATCAGTGTTAAATCATAACTCGCTTGAGGTCTCTTACACGAAAATCATATCTTCATTTCTCATATTTTGTCATTTTATTTGAGCGGAAAACATGCCACGGCAATTTTTTTTATGGCAAATTAACTTTTTTCATCACTCGAGCATGGAGTGTTGCGTGTGTGCTTTGAGTTATGGCTTCAACAACTATTTTCCGTATGTAAATTGTATTTAAAATGCTTTATATCTTTCTTAAATTTAAGTTATCCACTTAAATATACAATGATTGATATATTTTTGTATCATTAAGTATATTAATGAAGCAATGTTTATGATGCGAGCTGCGCCGATTCCAAGAAAAAGATTTTTTTGTTAAATAAAATTTAAAATGAATTATAATTAAAAATATATTAAAGATCTTATCTACAGAGAGAGCTTATATCTAAGAGCATTTAGTTAAGAACTTATATCT